GGCAGAGCTGGTTCTGCAAAAGGAGAAGCACACAGCTGCCTATGGAAGGAGAGTCCTGGGAACAACAAACTCATGGCTTTCCCAGACCCTTCCTCTCAGCTTTTCTTGCAGCCTGACGTGCCGACACATCATATGCCTGCTCTGGTTGGGGTTTACTCATCTTAATCTTGCACCAAATCCTGTGCTGCTTCCTGAGGAGCATTCGCAGCCCCTCACTGAGCACTCCTACACACCTGGCCGCTCCATGAACTTCCTCCAGCTTGAAGTATGCTTTCAGTAAAGGGAGATAAAAAGTGTTACTATCAGTCTCTGCATCCAACACAGAGTAAATCTATCAAAGGCAAACAGTGTGTGCCCATGTGTTGAGAAGACAAGGTAGAGACTGAAGGGAAGTATTACTTTCTTCTTCTTTTTCTCCCAGAGGGAAGAAACATGGGAGTATGGAATAATCTCCATAAATAAGAATACTCATATGGTGTCTCAAAGACAATGTAAAATAAGATACTCTGCTTCTTTTATAATCTTCATACATTGCAAAGGAAAAAGACAGGAGATGGGAACTGGCAAATTGTAATAAACTCATTCTTTGATAGAAATGGTATATCCACCAAAGAGGTGACAGGACCTGTGTGCCATGACAGGCGAGATGGAGTCTTTCTGCTGCCAAGGGAAAACTTTGGGACAGCTAACAAACATCTATTTCAATGTTAAGGAACATAACTCTTCTGGATAAACCCTGTGCAAGGTGGGCACTCGTGTATCTTACACTGCTGTCATTTTATCTACTTTGAGGAAAATTAAGAAAAAAACAAGAGATTTTGGCCCAAGGAAAACAGGCCCCCAACATGACTGCCTACATTCAGAGTGCAAAGGACCACAGTACTTCTGACTGCCATGCAGTGCTCTCAGGAATGTTTATACAAACCATCCCCATTAAAATGAAGGACTTGGGATGATCGTAACCTATGCAAATAACTGAGATGTTAACCATAGAAAGTTGGAACTGTTTAAATGTTGCATGCATGCACACACATGTGGATATGTAATAGTTACTGAAAATGGAAATCCTATAGTACTGACATGGAATTTGTACAGTTAAAGTATGCTTTTCTTATATTTCCTCTCCATGAAAAGCAGAGTACTGGCCTTTTTAAATTCTTATGTGTGTAATGTTAATAACAATGTACTGTTATCAAGATGCAAAAACATATTTATTTAAATAGAAATGTATCTGTGAATGCCACTGGTAGGCCTATCTACATATATACTTACATATTCACATAAGAGAAGTGTTAACTTAGTAAGAAGCTTTCATTCATTGTTCACTTTAACATCTGCAAAGCTGGTAACATTTAAAAAAATGGCTGTATTGTATAGTGGTGCATAAACATTATGATTTCAGCAAAAATAAAAGTACATTGGTAAAATTTTATAGCTCATGTTCTTACATTTCAGTCACTGTGAAATGCTTCAAAACAGTGTCATGATCTTAGAGGCAAAGCATGAGGATGATTGGAGTACAGCTGATGAACCCTGCTGGGATTATCAGCACCACCTCCATGCTATTGCTCTTGAGACAACTGAGAGGGCACAAGGAGGAAACCAGTAGGGGAAGGAGGAAAGGGTGAGACCAGCAAAGATGAATTCTAGGGGCTGGGAAAGTTGAGAAGGTGGCTGTAGGGAGTTCTGGCTGTGGGAATGTTCAGAGAAGGCAATCTGTGGCCCCAGATGGACCCTAATGGAAAAGTTTTTTTTTAAGAACTAAGAAAAACTTCATTTTTCATAGGTTGTGAATGTCATGTAGAAGGCAGAGCATTTGTCTGATATGAGTTATGTGGTGTTTGTTCACTGTATTCTTCCTGGAGCTTAGGGAACAATATGAGAGCTCTCCTATGGCCAGCAGACACCTGCAAACTTCCTGATTGCAGTCAAAGACAAAGCAGCCAACTGTGTGCTGGGTCTGCTTTCTTGTTTAATGGAAGTAAGTTGTTATTACCATGTTATTTAATGTATCTCCAGCCTGAGTAATTCTATGATTCTATGATTCTATCTACAATATCAGAGGTGATCCTGGCACTGAGAGCAGTAAAAGATGAAAAAACATCTATGGTCTTAGAGCAGACATATAGCAAAGTGAAACACTGCAGTAACAAAGGCTTGTAAAGAAAATAGCAACTTATTATCTTACATTGCTCCACCAACACTGGCAAGATACGGTGGGTGCACTGAAGAGGTGGCCCTATGGAGCACTTTGTGCAAGGCATCAGGCTTGTGGAAAGGATGGTTCTGAGCTCTGGTCTGTGGTGTCACTTGCAGTGCACACACTCCAACACTGAGCAGGTGTGGAACTCTGTGCTCTGATGGGATATTTTTATGGACCCCTGATGGAGGTGTGGATGCTGCACTAATTACTGAGTGACAAATAATCATGCCCAGCAGCATTCCTGTTAATCCTGTCTACCACTTCCACTCAACTCCAGCTCACTCAACTAATCCTCATCTACTTGGTTAAAAGCAGTATCAGACCAAAAGGATTCAATAACACAAGCAGAGCTGGTTACAGTGTTCACTTCCAGGTCAACAAGAATTCCAGTATAAAAGTTCTGTTTGCTACAGATGCAGGCAAAGGAGTTATTTGCAGTCTCCTCAGAAAGGGAGCTGCTGATCTGAGCACACAGTGTCTAGAAAAAGCTAGAAATAGAATGACTGCTCATACAAAAAAAAAAATATATATATATATATATATATATATATCCCTTTTAAATTAAGAAATTTATCAATTCAGCCTTATAGTGACCATGAAAATACCATGTTATTTTTCATTTGTGTCCCCCATGATTCTACTAGATTTTAGGCTCTTGTATTTATCTATTTTCCTGTATTGTTCTGTCCTTTCCAGGCATATTCCACACTTGACAAGCTCTGTCCGTACTCTCTTGTGGTCCAGCTCTTCGTGAGAACGACAACCGCGATGAGCTCGAAGCAGCTCGGCAGTGCAGCCGGCGGCCAGCAGGTGGTGGTGCTGCATCACCCCGAGGGCAGCACCCAGCTTTTGGATCGCTGGCGCTTTGAAGGCCCGTAACGGCCTTCGATGGAGATGATCAGGGTTTTATCTCATCATTAAGAAATGAGAAATGCTACAGGTCTGCCTCTTTTGAACTGTGGAGAAACTTCTTTTCTTTTTTTTTTCTTTTCTTTTTTCTCCATACGCAAATCAAAATGAAAGAAGCAAGAAGAAATATTATAAAGGATACATAATGCAATGGCAGCACTGCTGTTTACCACCTTAGTTCCCCTTTCATGTTGCCGCTGGCACAGTAGAGTGTGTTTCAAGGTGAAGAAAGGAATGAAGGAGCTGGTCTCAGCCTCCATCTCCTAGGCAGGTAGGACAGAGGTGAGGCATGCTATTTTATAGTAGCTTGTTCATGCTCAGAATTCTGCCATGCCTGCGTCTCAGAGGCTTGATCTGTTTTCACTGCCACAGGGATTATAGCACTCCTTCCTAGGGATATATGTGGCCAATGCATTTGGAGCCTGTGTATTCATCATGATGATGGAGGTGTTTGAGCCCACAACCTGATCTGGTGGGTGGTAACCCTGCCCATGACAGGGGATTGGAACTGGGTGCTCCTTAAAGCCTCTTCCAACCCAAGCCATTCTGTGGTTTTGTGATGAACCATATTGAGCTGGAACCAATACTGAGAACGGAAGAAGTGGATCCTGTTCCAGGACGATGAGTGTGCCTCTGAGCAGTACTGGTGATAAAGCTTTATAGCAGGAACTTAGGAGAAGTATGCTGAAAGAAATATCTAAAAGGCTTAGACGTGGGGAAATACTTTTTCAGTTACTTGGTCACACTGCCAAAAAGAGAAAGAAAGATAAAGATGCTGACTAAGTGACAGATACATGCACGAACAACCAAAGCTAAAATACTAATTTAATTTGGGCTGAGTGTAAAGCCTATTATGGAGGTAAAAACATGTGTAAGTCAAAGCTGAACTAGCACTTCAGAGCAGGATGAGGGAACACAAATGTGCGCAAGAACTTCTTTACAGTGAGGTGACGGAGCACTGGAACAGGCTGCCCAGGGAGGTGGTGGAGTCTCCTTCTCTGGAGATGTTCAAGACCTGCCTGGACACCTACCTGTGCGACCTGCTGTAGGGAACCTGCTTTGGCAGGGGGTTGGACTCGATGATCTCTGGAGGTCCCTTCCAACCCCTACAATTCTGTGATTCTGTGAACTGATCCTAACTATTTCCTTTTGTCAGATGCCAGTGCCAGAAGAAGAATCTAATATTAGAGAGGAGAATCGAAGGGGGAAGACTTGGTTGAAAGCATGTTTGTTCCTCTTGAGAAGTTTTAATTTGGGTGCTCTCTTCACCCAGGAACAGAACTGCATTATGGAGGGGATGAGACTTTTCCTTATCTCAAAAACACCAGCAAAGGCTGGGCAGTGAAACAGAGAAAAATGTGCCCAGAGGCTAACAGAGCAGAAACAAGAAACAACCTTTTAGAATTTTCCCACTACATCTGATTATCGTTTTTTTTCCCTTTTCCTTCCTCTCTAATTCACTATATTTTTCTATCACCTAGGAAATACAGGAAATGCTTGCTTAAAGATGTAATATAGAGAGTAATTCCCACGCTGCTCCTTTTGGATTTGAAAGCTGGTAGGAATTTACAGCTCAGTATGTTAAACTTGATAATTTGACATTTCTGAGGGCAATGGCTATCTAAATGCATCTTTATACTGTCTTTGGGGTGCTGCTGCAAACAAAAAACTGTCTTGATTTCACCTTTTTGACTGAATAAAAACAATGGAAAACCATAAAAAAAATATTTTATGAACAGTTTCTCCTTTATTATGTCCTGCAAAAATCTGTATAGCTTCAAAAAGAAAAAAGCGAGGAAACAGTGAGAGATTTCAATAACTTTTTAATGATAACTTCAAATACTAAAAAAGGAATACAATAAAATACAAAAGCATTTCAGAAACAAATCTCTGTTCAGAAATAATTCATTTTGTGCTATGAAGATATCCGTGTAAAATCATTACCTGTGTTAGACAAAAATCAAGTCTTAAGACAAATTAATATCTTACAGAAAAATCATATTACAGCTTGTACTGCAATGCTCAGCCATTACTAAAGTTATTTAATATAGATGTTTCATCATGTATTGTAATTAAAATGATAAGTTAATCACAGTTTTGGCAGTTCTTCCTTGATTAATGTATATTGTTCTTACAGGATTGTGGTTTCCCATCATAGTGTCATGAACTCTTGGCAAATTGAGCTTGGAACCTCCATATGGAGGGACAAGATTTTCAGTGGGAATGGAATTTCTAACCCTTCAAAGACTTAAGAAAATTTACCTTCCAAAATTTAAACATCTCTGATAACTTGATGGAGCAAATATAAGGACTATGAAGTTCATGAACACTGCAGAAGGCATGCAATTGATATAGTCTGACCATCAGCTATCATACCTATCCAGGTGATCTCCCTAGTTTCCTTTGATAGGTGTGTCACAAAGGATTCAGGGAAAGGCAGTACCTAAAAAAGCCATCGTTGTCAACATCACAGCAAAAAATATCAAATATCTTCACGTCCCAGCTCCTTCACCTAGCAATCCGATTTCAGTGTCCTGCCTGTCCAGAAGCACTTTCTAACATCTACTCTCAATTTTCCTCAGTGATATAAAAAACTCCCATTTTTGTTTCATCCAACATAAGCATGGCGAGCAGATTATTCCCTTCTTCTTTGCAGCAGTGCATTTTTACATTTGACGGTTATTGCCATCTCCCTCCTCAGTGCTCTCTTCTTTCAGCTCAGCAACCCCATTTCTGTCAATCCTCCAAGACAGCTCATCATTCTTATTGCTCTCCTTTGGAGCTTTTCCAGGTCATCCACATTTTTCTCAAAGCAACTGGGATTGGCAGATAGCCTTTATAAGATGGGACTTCCCATATTTAAGCCTCAAATCTCAAGTGCTGTATTAAAAACATGTGATGTATTGCCTGCTCTTGTATCGCCTCTATATTTTAATAGGGGACACACGTTGTGAGGTTGAAACACAGAAAACCCTTCAGCTGCTTTCCTGCCCTGTCCCTAGAGCCTCCTTTGGGAGCACAGAGGCACAGTCCAGTTGGTGGCTGCGACAGGAGTGAGAACTGGAGCAGCCCTAAGGAGCTGAGGAGGGCAGCAGGGCAATGAGCACACTGAGGCACCAGGAATGCATGTCGGTGTACTAAAGTTCAGAATGCAGCAACTCCCCCCTGCTGCCCCATATCAGGTGTAATTGATCCTCCTGCCAAGGACTCACTAATGTGATAAGAAAATTGATATTTTTGTTTTGTAGGCAAGACTTTTGCTTATACAGCTCAGAAGATAGCACTCCTGGTCAGTAACTTAGGTTTGGCTTGGGATTCTCTATGATCTCTCCTCTAAAAGATACTAGCCAGCTAGTCATGCTCTGTCCTGCATTTGGCTACTTGTTCTCACTAAGTACCTTGTCACCTCGTCTTTACTGAAGTTGACCTTTTTTTCTTACCAGAACACTACTCAATTTGGCAAGATCATTCCGACTTCAAGTCCTGCACTCCATCGCTCTTGCCATTTCTCCAAGCCTGGTGTCATCTGTGCGTTCAATAAGGCTACTTGCTTTTAAAGCATATGAACGTTAAAGAAAAAACTCGAACCAGACTTTGGACAGACCTTTGAACTATATGTGATGTATCTTTAATTTCCTCAGAGAAGCATCTACTCTGTTATTTGGAGCAGTTCAGCAGCGGAACAGATTCCCACAGGAAATTTCCATGGATACTACACAACACAGAGGTCTAAGCTTGCTTCCTCTGCTTCCAGATGTGTGGAATTACTGCGTTGCTCACAGCATCAGCTCTTGTCTCTGGAAGTAAAGTCTGGAAGGCAGCCCGACTGTCCTCTTCCTTCCCCTCCATGGCAGTTCTGCAGACACATGCAGATCTAGCTGGAGCAGAAGATCAACACAAAGGAGGAACAATCTCGGTCCTGAGAATGCAAAATATCTACCACAGAAGGCAGCAGTGGTTTGTCTGGGAGTTCCCATGCAACTTGGAAATACAAGAGAGATTATCATTGCCTTTTGCAGCCTATGGGATTTGTGGCAGTCAATTACAGTGATGTCCATTACTCCTGACAATGAAAACATTTTTTTTCTACTACTGGCACATCCCAACTGCATAAGAAGTGTTTCTTTCAGCATCACCAAAGGCCTGGGATATCTCACTTCATGAATCACGTTAGATGCCTTCTTTTCCCAATTTTGTATGAGCATCTGTGAATCTTTCCAACCCAGGTTCCATCAGGAGCAGTTGGAAGAGATTTGAGGTCAACTCACTTGATCCTTTTCCTGCTGCTCAGACCGAAGACATTTCATCATAAAAGGAAGCTCTGAGCTGGTGCTGACTGCTCTTTCTCTTCTTTTCAAGGAGACCTTGCAAGCAGTGGCAAATTCATCCATATGGAGTCAGGATGTCCTTGCAGGACCACTAATACTCTTCCTGGTAATTCAGTTGCAGCGTAAAACTTTGGATGACTGAAGCAGGCAGGAGGGAGGAAAGAAAAGCAACCCAAAGTAAGTTTTCAAGTTCCATTTGTTTACTTCACGCTATTCCTAATTTAATTTCTAACTATTGAACAAATTGCCATAAATAGCTAGATCATTAAAAAACAAGCTTGTCAAAATAGAGAAAGCAGTTTAAAGACTCATCAGTCAATAGTGGGAACAGAGGTGGTTGGAAAGCTCTAACCTGTACTGCCTGTGCCGATAGAGCATGGGCTCACGGGATTTATATGCGCCCAGAACTACTCACGGGATTGCTCTGTGCCTGTGTGGCCAGACCTCCGAATGTCATGGAGTAGTTTTGCTTTGCAATGATGCAAGAAGGTAATAATTCCCACATTTTTCTCTTTGTGTCAGAGGGAAGTTATCCTGAAGAGGAGGAAGGCTGGGGATTGGGACTTTCAGTTTCTCTAAGGTGATATTTAAAGATTGTTTAACTCCAGACGCTTTGTGTTGCTAAGCTCCTTGAAGATTTATGACCTTTATGACAATCATTTTCCTCTGTGAAATTTCCCTTCTGCTTAAGTATTCACAGGAAGAAAAAGTTTTCCTTCTTTTCCCCTCAAGGCAGCAATGCTTATCCTGTGAGGATTTCTGAACGAAAGGGAGGATTACCGCCTTAGCTCAGTTTGGAAGCATTTACGAGGCTTCCTGCCGTGCCTCCTGTCCAGCTGCCCTGCCTCTCTCTGTGTGCGACTCTTCAGCTTTATTTTGCAGGAACAAATCGGGGAAAAAAAAATCCACTAACAAGCTTTGGGATGCTTACAAAATCCCACTTGGGATACCATGGTTTTTGAGGAAAAAAGGGAGCTTCACATAATGGGATTAAGGAAATTCCCATCTGCTTAGAGCCTCCTTTTCTCTGCCTCTTGTTGACAGAGAAAGAAGTCTAATCACTGTAATTGCATTGTAGGATGATGGCTGTTGGCTCACTGCACAAGACTAGCTTTATCACCTTTTGGCTAAAAGGGGCTGAAATGTATGGAGGCAGCCAGTGGCACCCAGGATTTTCTACTATGACCAATCTCTCAGCAAGACAGAGGATATTTATTGCGGTCCTTAGCTGCACTTTGATGGATCTGCATGACAAAACTCCCTCAAAACTATTTTATTAGTTGAACATGGTGGAGATACTGCAATCCATGTTGTGCCATTACTAGGCTTGCCTGGAGAAAAGAAAGCTATGGGGTGACCTCACTGAAGCCTTCCAGTACCTAAAAGGAGCCTATAAAGAGAAGGGGACCCAACTCTTTGTAAGGGTAGGTAATGGCAGAACAAGGGGAAATGGTTTTTAAGTTGAAGGGATGAAAATTTAGGTTGGATGCCAGGGGGAAGTTCTATTCACAGAGAGTGGTGAGGTGCTGGAACAGCTGCCCAGAGAGGCTGTGGCTGCCCTGTCCCTGAGGTGTTCAAGGCCAGGTTGGATGGGGCCCTGGGCAGCCTGATAATATATATGGAGAGTGGTGGCCCTGCATGCAGCAGGGAGTTGGAGCTTGATGGTCCTTGAGGTCCCCTCCAACCCAAGACATTCTATGATTCAACATAATTCTGCAGATGTACTCTTCACATGATTTTTTTTTTTTTTTTTTTTAAGTATTTTGCACTAGCTCATAGTTTAATAAAATCCTGTCCATCATGGTTTCTCATAAAAGAACAAGTCAGAAATCATAGATTTATACAATCATGAAGCTTGGAAAAGACCACTATGATTATCTAGTTCTAGTCCAACCCACTGCCAAATGCTGTTATTTTTTTAAGAACAGATCAGTACTTAATTATCTGTTGATATATGAATAGTTATTCAAGCACATTTGCAGTTCAACACTATCATTGAAGTTTTCTGAGAAATTAAAGACATTCTTTAATTAAAAGGGTACATGCTGCAAGGAACTTATGAAAGGTCACACCAAAAGGAAAGGATGCAGTGTTCATTAGCATGCCTTATTTCAGTCTGAGGCAAACACATATGACTATCTGTACACTAAGAGGTTTTCTACTTTGTTTTACTCTCCAAAGTCTCTTTCAGCTTTTCATTTCTCTAGCAGAGACGTTTGGGCAGCCCCATCCAAATGGGGGTCTGTTCTCAGAGACATGGTAACCCCACATCTGGGTGAGCCCTGGGCTTCTTGCCAGAGTATCCCACTCTGCTTTGAAGCACCTCTGCTGTGGAGACCCCCGCACACACTCAGCATCCCTTCACTTGTGTGCCTGTGTTAATGCTTATGATTTCTGTGTACATGCATTTCATTTTTAGTTCTTAATTCAAGTTCTTAATTAAAGCAAAATGGTGCTTTTCTTGAGGATGCCAGAATTTTTCTAGCTGAACTTCCTGAAAACTGGATATATTTCTTTCACTTCACACATTTTTAATGGAAATCTTTATATTTTCAAAAGAAGCATAAAAACATTCACAGAAATTATTTTCAGTAGAATGAGGTATTTTCTTCTAAATAATATTTTTCAATTTTTCCTGCAGTCAAAGACACTTCTCTCAGAAATACCAAGGAAGCTGAAATTAATGCTCCTTAATTTTGCCACAAGCCTTTAAGAAGCCTCAGGGATTTTTATTAGGAGCTCTGGCACCTCAGTTGCATCATTTTTTACTTAAATGAAGCTCTTGTTAAATGTTAAGCAAAGTTAAATCATGCTCTGCAGAGATTGCTAAGCAGCATGAACGAAATTGCTCTTTCCTCTTGATCACTTGATTTCCTTATGAATTTGCCACCTCTCTACCTCTCTCGTTGCCATAGAGCTTACACATCTCATTGAAATGAGCCAAAAATTCCCAAATAAAATAAAAACCGCAGCAATGTAGAACAGTAATACGGGCAGAAATGGCACTCACAGGGTAGGTAGAAACAATTCTATAGTGCTATCTGTAGAGAGCATATCCCTTTTTTCTTTAAGAATTACCCAACACTGTTATGTTTCATTGATTCCCTTAACACATTACATTTCAATTATGCCTTATTATATCATTTCACCATTTTTCCCAGCCTTCACCAACACACCTGCTTGAGGGGCCACAGGACTCCAAAGTTCAGTGCTGTGTGAAGCACTGCTGGACAATGACATCAGAAATCCATCTTCAGGCTGGCCTGGTTCCTCAGCTCCTACATCACTAAAGCATAATTTGAATTCAAATATCTCTCAAATGTTTTGATACAAGACCTAAAAAAACCCCATTTGTCAGCTCCCTGAAGACTTCATAGACTATATGCTTATCAAAGAAGTCGTCATGCTGTTTTACTTCTTTTTAATGACTGTTGGGCAATGGGAAAACGTATAACCAAACAACTTAGGTTACGTCCACATGGAGAGGTTGAAGATTTCATTAGATGTTGAATAACAATATTCGCATTCAAAGCACTCAGTTTCCATTCTGCATCAGGCTTAGTCTCAGTCTCCCCAGAACACAATTGTGACAGTAGTTTTTGTTTGTTTTTTAGACAGATGTGACAGTAGTTCTCTATGTAGAAATATATTTGGCAAATACGTAAACCCTCCAGAGCATCCCTTGGGAGGCTAAAGAAATTTAAACTCCTAAGTTCCGTGCAGATCTCCTTTAAGGTGTTATTTCCCCCCCCTAAATATCATGTTGAAGTTCTACTTTTAGCAAGTTTAAAACTGGAAGCTACATTATGTTTTCAGAACTGAAAAAGAAATCTCAGTGAATAAATAAATCTTGAGAAGTACAGCTACAGGGAAACAGGCACAGACCTTGCACCATTTACAACTTTAAAAAATAGTGTTTGAGCTTAGTAAAGCCAGCATCACACACAGCAAATTAAAAGGAGGGTGTGCTCTCCCCATGAACTTGTGGAAAGCTCACATGTTTCAGGAGTGCATAACTTAGCTGTAAAATGTTAACAACTGTTTTCCAGACTTCGCTTTGGTATACAAAATTCAGCCCAGAAACTCTTCCACCATTTCACAAAGTATGGTTCAAATTAAGGGGGAAAAGAATCCTTTACATATATTTGCTGCATATTTTTTCCACAACACTTGAGTTCGACCGAAGCAGGAATCTTCATAAACTATAAAGTATGAATAGTTATTTTTATTTATGGAAATTGGATGAGCAATGCTTATTAGATGAATGCTTACATCTGTGTAGACCTTTTTAGCAGTAGGTTTCAAGAAGATAAAGTATGAGAAGCTTACTTCAGAACCAAAGAAATGAAGAAACATTGTAAGTGACATATCAGCTCATCTACCGGACTAGAAGCCAAGCCAGGAGAAAGACAAAGGAAGGGATGCACACACTAAAAGCCTTCAAATTATGCCAGGCTGGATTTTTTTTTTCTGTGACAGACAATTATTGTACAGTTATGGTATTCTAGTTAACAGGTTAAATTACAGTTTTTGCAATTTGTCCTAAATATGTAGGTACCTAGATATTTATAGTTTCATGAAGTACAGAACCTCAGTTCACTATGATCCCCTCGAGAACAGGACCAACTACCATTATCCTTCCTCTGAACACCTCTGGTGGTATCAGCATTGTGAAATGTTCCTGTGCAGTGTCTACTGAGTATTAGCATTGTACACATCATACAGTGATGCATCACCTGTGAAACTGTCCTTTGTGCAATTTTTGTTAATTACCCCATCAAAAACGTAAAAGAAAAAAAAGATTTAAGCTCATAAAAAGGAGTAAATAATACAAATCTGTAGTTTGATTTCTTGCTACAATACAAAGTTGGAAATTCAGCCTTCAGTAACCTGTGAGCTATTCCATATCCCCACACTTTTGTGACAGTACTATGGGAACGTCTATCTACACAGCACACAGTTATTACCCATCATGAAGAAAGAATCGGAATAGAGATAATTACATTAAGTTTAGCACCATGGATTTAACAATTTGACTTCCATTAGCAAACAGGGGAGGGAAACTTAGAAGGCAGATAAAATCTATAATAGACAAGGACCATATAAATGCCTATTTCACACTTAATCTCCCAAAGGCACTTTGAGAGAAAAGAGTTGTTTCTTAAAAGCAAATGTGCTGTTTGAAGGCACTCAGAGCAGTATTCAGACACTGTCTCAGGGAGCCTGTGTTAAGGAGAGCCCAGAGCAATTGGGACAATCTGCTATAAAATGTCAGGGTGAGGGCAATGGCTGCAGCCACAGTGCATGGATAGCTGCACACATGGAGGGGTGGATGCATGGCTGGAGATGGATGCAAGACCACACTGCCAAAGAGACTGGTCTCATCCTTTGGGCTAGGTGTAAAAGCAAGACAATCCCGATCTGCAGAAAGACTAATCACAGAAAAGAAGATATGGGGAGAAAAGTGATGGCTTTGTCATTTTTTCTGAAAAATCAGAAAAAACCCTCCAACTTTGCCACAACCAAAACATTTCTTCTGTGGAAAGAATTCAAATTCAATTATTACCTGAATAACAGATTGCTCCATCTCAGTCAGAGGCTGTATGTGAAAGCTGAAACACTGAGAACACAGCTAGAAAATACTCTAAATGCAGCCTTCCTCCAGGGCTCTCTGAAACAGAGCCTACATCAGAGACAGCAGATCAGGAAATATGCCCTCAGGTGGAAAGGTCTGCTACATACCTAAAAAAATTGCCCTCTAGGACTTGAGCCTCTTTGTCTAACAGGGTATAGCTGAGAAGCAGGTCCCTGCACTTTGAAACAGTGCTGTTAGAGAAGAATTGATGAATGGCTTTCAGTCCAAGACTGAACAGTCAGTATTGACAAACTCTAGAGTAGGCAGCAGGACTCTGCTTTTGTGAATCCATTTATTGCATAGCCTGAAGCTGGAAAAGCTTCAATTTAAATCTTACTGCTAACAAAATAGAAAAAAAGCTATTGATTTTAATAATCTTTTGGCACGCAAGGTATTTTTATTAATGATTAATAACCATTCTTTCACTATCACAGGATATCTATATTTATATTTTTCTTGTTAAAATATATAATTTAAGTGTAAAACCTTTCACTTAATTCATCTCTCATACTACTGACCTTTTCTTACTTAAATCTGTAATGCAAATCTATGAAGATCACCATCAGTTGTAACAGATGAGTCCATTAAAAGGCGGTGGCCCAAGGGATGGCTCTGACCTCCTGATCTTTCTACCACACAGCCAGGATTCCTTTGTCCAGATCAAACCTTTCAATAAGTGACACTGATGATCAGAGCGAAGCAGCTCTCCCTCATCGCTCTGGACATGGCTTTCAAGCTTCGTTCCATCTTCAAAGGATGAAACAATGATCAGCATTTGACAACTCTTTTCATGGCCATCTTACAGCTCCAGTCGTGGTCCCCCCCAGGAACCTGTAGCATGGGAGGTCATAGAAATCTCATCCTGTTCCCCCTAGATACTTTCAAATATTTCCACATCAAGTAGAGTACACATGGCAAAACCAAACTGGGCATGCACAATCACCTGTACAGTTTCTTCATACAAGGCCACTTCAGAGATGCAAGAATAATAGTCTAGGAGAAGTTTTAGAGATCTTTTTCCTGCCAACATACACAAATCTAGTTACTTTGTTCCAAGGAGCCAATTTCATCATACCACACTGTTAGTTTATTTGGCCTAAAGGCTGGCCAATTTTTAATACAGCTTCCTAAGGTTGCTATTAATCTGGGGCAAGTATAAAGCCTACTTCTTTCTCCCCGCTTGTTTCATTCTCTGATTACATTCACATATTCTACACAGCACAGCTGTGAACACTTCAGGAACAGCCGTCCTGCTGATGGAGACTGACCATCCAGTACAACCCGCTCCATCCCAAAACTCTGATTTTCTTTCTGGAGGGTTTCACCATTGGATGTAGCCTTCCCAGATCTCATCCAGTCTGCATTCCAAAATCTGATTTATGCACCTGTATTTATTCATTTTTTGCTTGGCTCTGGTGTAATCTCTGTCTAAAAGCAGAGATAACATTTGTACTTCTGACGGCTCTCAAAAGTTTATACATAACTTGAAAACCATGCACTTGCAGATGGATAAAAAAATCTTAGTGTTTTAATTAAAGTGTTTGCAGTGCAACAGTAAGTGTTGGCACTGGCAACAGTCGGTTACAGCTTATGATGCCTTTTGATAAAGACATTAAGCTGTTTTACTCATAAACCAATCTCTAATAGTTTGAGTAATTTCTGCTAGCACCTCTGGCTTATGTGCTGCTGGTGTTCAGTTTTTAAGCTACCGATGTATACTGTTCTGGTAGTTGGAGGCTATTTTAGACAGCAAATGAGAGTGAGCCCAGTATGCCTTATTACTGGTTAATCTCCCCAGATTTGGGAAACATCAGTCACAGATTTTCCATGTTAGCTAGCTGTTGTTTTGCCATTCCATGTATAAACTTGTTTGAAACCACTTCAAATCACAGATTCATTGGCCAAGTTCCTATTATCCTCAGCAACCCTGTATTAGGACCCATGTGGCTCAATTAATCAGTCAGCTAATACCAAGCAAGTCTAAAGACAGGGATAAATGAAAAAGATCGTGGGGGACAGCTGTACAGGAAAATTGAAGTCAAAAAGGAAGGTTGCAACAGAGACCACACCGGGACAGAGGAGGAGCTCCTAGCTGTGAGCTGTTTGCAGCACCAGGAGCTCTGGCTTTGCACTTTTTGAAGAATGGCAGCTGCTGATACTGTCAATAGTCCAGAAAAAGTAGCAGCTGCAAGAGAAGGAGGGAGAAGGACTAGGTAGGACTTTCTGACTGACCTCACACTTCTGTAGCCCAGATTGTTTCTCCCTCTCTCCTGCCATACCTCACCCAGGAAAAAATTGGTTACTATGATTTCATACAGGTGGGGGGAATTTCACTTTCATGGCCTCAGAGTTGTTTCATTTTCAGATCCTAAGGGTTTCCAGAGCTTGGAGAGATCATGGGTGGTGATTTTTCAAGTGTGGGGCTTGGAGACACTCAGTGTTGGGACCTGCATTTTTACTACAGAAGAGATTTCCTAGAACTTGAGGATTGAAAACGATCAAATGAACATCATAAAATGAAATACAATTTTTACAGAAAATGGTTTCTCTTTGTCAAATTTCATGTCTGCTCATTATAAAAGCATCCTTCTAAAACAAACAAACAAAAAAAATCAGTATTCAAGTTATTTTGTGTTAAAAGACAAAATATT